TGCAGTGTCTTCATATATATACACACACTAATAGTATAAAATATATATAGTAATATAAAATAAGCACTCTATATAAATATCAAGTACTGTGCAAAAATAAGTACAATAAAATAATATATATTTATACACACACACACTCAAAAAGAAAAGACAAACCTCGTTCACTTGTATTTTGGCACTCTGTGCAATTTCCTGGAACGTCAGCTGCCTGTGATTGGCTGGCCGTGTGAAAGTCATCTATGAAGACAATCAATCATTAACTGTGTCAGCATGGTTTTACTCACAGTAATAACTCTTCCTGTGCCACTTAATAATTAATTAGCAAATAATGATGTACTGCTTAACTAAATGATACTATAAGGACTTAGAATCATTTACCAGCTCATCACATTTGTAATAAATAGCATTTATACCTCCATGACACAGAGTAATTGGATCTTCTTCATGAGTTTGCCCTCATGAGCTGCGAGATCAGGCTTTGAGGAGGAAAAGAAAAATGAATACAGGTTCACTTACTAACAATATATATGAATTTCTACCGGAAATCCTCTTCAACATTTTTAATGAAGAAAAAAACTAAACTAAACAAAACTTGACAGCTTTTCATTTGCATTGAAAAAGTAATCTGCTCACCTGTTGGCCCCATGCGCTCTTCAGGGCCTGGAATTTCTCCACGTTGCCTGCATTAAATGCGAAGAGCGTGTCTATCAGCCACTGTTTATCGGTGTTCCTCAGTGACTCCAGGACAGGGTGCATCAGCTTTAAATATCAAACTCATGTTGTTAGAGCAAACAAATCCATCAAGACAAGCAGCTGCCAATGAAGGAGATGTATAACAGTAGTACAATGCAGTTATTTAAAAAATTTTTTAAATTAAAACTAAAATTATTAAAAAATTGCATTAATTGAAAAAGCTGAAATAAAATAAAATATACATTTTACATAAATTAAAAATTAGAAATGTTTCTTTTACAACTAACTGATATAAAATCTGTAAGTTAAAGCAGAGTTAATATAATTAGCTAAAAAAAAATATTTATCTTAAATGAAACAAAGGTGAATTAAAAAAAAACCCTAACAAAATTTTTAAATGTTGACTTGGCAATTGGGCACTAAAATTATTAACTGTAAATAAATAAACACTAAAACAAACCAAAACTGAAATAAAAATAAATTAAACCTAAATAGCAAATTTTTGCCTTAACAAAAATATAGTAATTATAAAAAATTATAATAATAAAATGACAAAAGTACATAATGAAATGACTAAATTACTACAAATTTAACTAAAAATATAAAAATTTAATTCAAAATAGGAATACAACTAAAATAAAAATTAAAGCTAAATAGAAAAAAAGAAAAGAAAAAAGAACATAACAAAATTACTAAAACTTAAAATTAAATTCAAATGAATAAATACTATAATAGTATATAAGTACTGACACAATAATACTAAAATAACACTGGTACAATGACAGCCACTAACCAGTTCTCCAAAGTTGTACACCCCCTCTCCGAGCAGGCCGGCCAGACCTAATGTGAAAGCTCTTTCTTGTTGCTCTGCTTCTGTGGTGAGAAAAGCACAAAGCTGGAGTGAGCATTAAACCACAATCCCATCTGCATTAGCAGCTTCTCATATTTTCACCTGAAATTATGCAGATCCAATTGTACTTTCTAATGATCACTGTAGATGTGCTGAGCCAACACTAGAGGGCGCTGCTTCAAGTATCTCATCAAATGTAAACATCATGCAGAAGTCAGAATACTTACCAGGCAAGTCTTTAGCTTCCACACATCCCAAGTACCGCAGGGCATCCTTGTAGTACAAAGCGTGGTTCCCAATGATGCGGTAATATTTGCTCGACAGATCGTAAAATCGCCCATGCACTGATGTCACACCCGGGAGATTGTTCAGCATCTCTTCCACTTCCTCTATTAATTTCTGCAAAATGATTATTCATAAGTAAAATGATAAGAATAACAAATTGTCACTCTTGCCAATTTGTGAATAGATCACCTTGCAATTCAATTTTGATGTGGGTAGTTTTGTAGTTGGTTTTAAAAACATTTTCAATAAGGAGTCCTCAATGTCTAAGTGTGGTGATGTTATGAATTTAGGGAAGGCAAATTAATTGTAGGCCCAAATATTAATTTGATAATAATACTAGCCTGTTAATAATAATAATATTATAATACATTAATGGGAAAACAAGCCAATTATCGTCTTGACATCATCAAGATATCTCTGACCATCATTGATTCACGATACTATCATCAATCGGCACAACCCTATAAAAAGGTCCACTGTAATAGTGTATCTTTGTCACTTCAAAACCAAGCAGTTGAATCTGCGTGACCAACTTTAATCTGTTGTGGTCACATAGATTTCTATTGAAATGGCAGGAGTCCGCCCGCGAAAAGAGCAACTGCAAATGTGGCTGCGCCTTAAGAAAAGAAATATATGCTATAATGACCTTTGTCGCTGGGAGATCGCTGATGTCGAGCTTGAGGCTTCCAACTGAGGTTTTGCAGAGGATGACGGCCTCATCACTGGACTTGACCTGAGAGTAAAATGACAATGACTTCAATATGTTGCCAATCACGTTGTAAACTCAGAGCTGAAACACAGAACAACCCGCTACCTTCTCCTTTGTTTTCTCAAGAAAGGTGATGGCTGTGTTTGGATCTGTTTAAAAACAAGACATATCTTATTAATATTACAACAAAGTAGCATTTTTGTTCACTCTCTATAGGCTTTGCGATGGAGGTCAGCAAACGACACTACTGGAAAATAACGATGTACCTGTCATGTGTTTTGCAACATGAAGGATGATTTCTACTAAGGACAATGGGTTGATTCTGTCAAGAAAAAAAAAGATTCATTTATTTTTAATTAAATTGCAATAAATCGTTTTCCAGAAGCAACAAGAGCATCGCAACAAGAGCATCACAATGAGACAAGGTTCCAAAATGATCTACTGCTTTATTATTACCAACTGGAAAATTCGGTTTTCACATGCATGGGGAAATCTCATCAGAAATGCTTCTTACCTGTGTTCAAAATCACTGAGGAAGTTTTCATAGAGCTGTGGGAAGCAAATGAGACTTATGAAAGGTTTCACCTCACATTTCTGAAGTGTGCAAATGCAGCTGAATTCTGATCTGATACCTGAATGAGTCCGTCCCCTTTGGCGAAATAGGGGTCCTGCACAAAGTCTGTCAGCTTCAGAGTCAACTGATGCCACAATCTGTCAAAGAGGCAGAAAACAAAGAGAAGTTGATCTGATGTTCAAATTACTCTTAACATGTGGATTTTATCTATCTATCTATCTATCTATCTATCTATCTATCTATCTATTGAAGGGCTGATGTGTTCAGACACTCAAGCAGTCACTGATTTGATACCCATGATTTGCATCCTTTAAATGAATAAAGCATGGTTTTAGCAGTGTACTACATTAGGAAACGGTCTACTTCATCATTTTGTAAACCCTCAATAAATCGTATCTCATATGAAACACTTGAAAACAACAAAGGTGTCATATAACAAATATCTCACTTCAGCAATGACTTGCTAACCACTAGAACTCATTTTACAATAATTAACTACATCAACAAATATAAAACCATTACGCTAATAAACGGCCAACACGGTCTTTAAAACACAATTCAAAGAGGACAAAGTAGATTATTATTATCCATTGTGCAAGTAATATAAGTTACCTTTAGCTTAGCATGCTAAATGACTCAGCTAGCTAAGATTCAGACACCATTCTTACTTTCTGTTGTAAAAATCCTCCAGTGAGTGCCACTCCGCGGCCATCTCGGTCGTCGGGCTCTTGCTCTGCTGTTGTTTGAGGTATCCGATGACATCTTTCATCTTGAACGTAGATCTTTGACTGTTTGAGTGAGAAAAATTGAAGCTCTCGCTACTGTCTATGGAATAAATCTGCACTAATAAAATGAATGGACGCTGAGGTGAGGAGAGCGCTACCGCCACCTAGAGCAGCGGAGGATACACAGACACACAAACACAGTCCTTCAAGACTAGTCTTTGGCGCAAACGTCTTCCCCTTTAAAAAAAAAAAAAAAAAATTGAGATATATAAGGTTTTGTATAATAAAAATGTATAAAAAATTTACCTAAATAAGGTTTTGTATAATAAAAATGTATCCAAAACCTTATATAGATATATAAAATACCTTTACGTATAATATTATTATATTTATTGTGTATTAAGATTATATATATTTATTTATAAATCATATAAATAGCAACGACAATAATAATATTAAAATATATAAATATATGTGTGTGTATAAAGCATTTCAAATGAGACAATGACAAATTCAGCTCTTTTATTATAATCTCACAATAAATTTCTTTTAACACAGCATGATACAAATCATACAACATTCCCTTCAGTCTTTCATACACAACTACACAGGCCACCAATAACAATATACAGCAATTCATCCCTTTACCACAAAGGACAAAAGAAAAGTTGATCACAGGAGGGCTTTATATGCTCCTGTCCCAAAAAGTTGAACCGTTTTTCCTCATAAAATATCATAAACTATCCATGTATCATAACTTTAAAAATGCTCCTGCTCAGCTCAGCTCATCCTAAAACCAAATAAATAAATAAATATCAGTGCTCCATCACTGTCATCATCCAGTTTTCACATTGACATTCTAAATGAAAAATAATATCTGTGCTCCCGTGATGTGTAATAAGTTAGAGTTCCATTCAATTAATTCTTATATATTAGTAAACTAACACTGTGTAAACAAACCATGTTTTCACTGTCATTGTACAGAAAATATTACCTAAAGACAGGCCAACACAATAAACCTCAAATGAAATGAAATAACATTCACCAGGTGTTTTCCTTAGGAGTAAAAACCAAGCATTTAAATCCTAAAGTGTCAAAAGATTCAATTCCATAATATAATTCATCAAAAACGTTTGTTTTTGATTCAAATTTGATAAGCGATCCTGTTAAAAGACTTGGATTAGTTTGTGTCGCTGTCACTGTCAGAATTATTGGACTCTCCGAACTGTTGGCGGGCTAAAAAACGAAGCTCTTGTGGTTCCAACGAAGTCATTTTACCATCGGCTCCAATTTTCATTGGCTGGATCACCTGCTCCCTGAAAGAAAAGCATGTTTGCAATTACTTAACAGTTGACGTCATACTATTTTAAAAAACACATTGAAAGTTTGGGGTTTTCTGACATCGCTTTATTACCTAGAGAGTTTGTCGAACATGTTGACCAGTTTCATGGCTTCGTATTCTTTCTGTTCTTCAGTCATTCCCTCCATAGGGTTGGGCTGCTCCTCCTCCACACGGCCAGTCACTGGATTGATACTGCACAACATAAACAAAATAAAAAAACACAAACATCTCTGATTTTTTCTAACCATTATGGCCATTCTGATATCTGACAGTGTTGTTAATGACATACTGAGGTTTTGCCTCTCTGTACTCCTCAGTATCGCTGTCCTCATCTTCAGAGTAATGTCCAGGGTCTCGACCGCCTCTCATCAGTCCTCGAGCGGCCAGGAGCCCCGCCGCGTTACCGTAACCCGTGTACTTGATAAACCTGGAAACTGATTCACAGTGGATCAAATGCCTATTATTATTTCTCTTCGACTTCAAAATAAATCCACTACGGATCAAATACAGTAGTCAACATTTGAAGTGGATCAAAAAAGTTCATCAATCTTCTCCTAAGACAAGAACAGGTATTGTTCGAAATTCATGTATAGCTTCGATGAAAGGTTTTGATCCACTTCAAATGTTGACTGCTGTATATATCAGGATCAAAAGAACCAAGAGAACCGAACTACAAGTGTGAACACACGCTTAGTGTACTTGTAATGATATTGTAGTATTCGACGTACCACTCTCCTTGCACAGGACAAACAGGAACTCAGCTGCACAGTGCTTCACGTCCGTGTCTATGTGGGTCATTAGGCGCACTATCTTGTTCCGTAAAGCGTTACCGACCTCAGGTCTGTTTTTGACATCTCGTAATGGGGGAAGCACCTGCGTAGACAAACACACATACTCCATCATGACCAAAATGAAAATAGGCCACATTTACTAAACAGGGAAAATTAGCGTTGGAAAGTTCTGCGCGTGATCTACTGATGATGTGCAAATTAGCCGGATCATTTCCATAATGACCAACGCAATCTACGAAGAGTAACGTAAATTAGCGTCTTGTTTAAGACGTGTTTTTTTGGGCCGTTAAATAATGGCGAAGATACCAGTCAATTGACTGGCGAAACCTTAGTAAATCACCTTGCATGATTCATTTAAATACTCTCTTCGCATTCATTTTGCGTCTGAAAGGGAAACTCTTACAAATGCATATGCAATAAGTTAAAGGGATACTCCACTTTTTTTGGAAATAGGCTCATTTTACAACTCCCCCAGAGTTAAACTGTTGAGTTTTACCGTTTTTGAATCCATTCAGCCGATCTCCGGGTCTGGCGGTACCACTTTTAGCATAGCTTAGCATACATCATTGAAGTGGACAAGACCATTAGCATTTCTAAAAAAAAAATGACCAAAGAGTTTTGATATTTTTCCTATTTAAAACTTGACTCTTCTGTAGTTACACCGTGCACTAAGACTGACGGAAAATGTAAAGTTGCGATTTTCTAGGCTGATATGGCTAGGAACTATACTCTCATTCCTGCGTAATAATCAAGAAACTTTACTGCCGTACCATGAGAGCAGCAGGCGTAATGATATGACGCAGCTGGGGACTATTTTCAGGCGCTGCGTCATATCATTACGCCTGCTGCACTCATGGTGAAATGCTAATGGTCTTGTCCACTTCAATGATGTATGCTAAGCTATGCTAAAAGTGGTACCGCCAGAACCGGAGATCGGCTGAATGGATTTAAAAACGGTAAAACTCAACAGTTTAACTCTGGGGGAGTTGTAAAATGAGCCTATTTCCAAAAAAAGTGGAGTATCCCTTTAAGAGAGTAAATACGCCGAAAGAGGGTTTTGCGCTGGTGCAAGCTGTAAGTAAACCTGGCCAATGTCTCAATGAAGTTCACAATCTCACCTTCATTCGTAAAAACTTCCTGGTCTCTCTGTGGATGCGAGCGCTCTCGGTTAGTAGGTTTAATGAGGGCAGCAGGGTTTCCTTCAGCTTGTTTCCCTGGAAATACAACATCAACAGGTGGAGGAGTTCAATTGTGTAACACGGGAGCTCCAGCTGTGTCCTGGTCTAGAAATCCCTCAAAGTGTTCCCATCGCACCCAGCACAAAAACAACAACAAACCAGCCAGAACAAACAGCTGTAGAGCAGCTCTCGGAAAACAAATAACTTCATTGCAGGTTTTTCACCTCAACCTGACCAGGTACGACAGCAAAATGCAAGTCAAGTAAAAGTCTCATTTATCTCTATAGCGCTTTTCACAATAGATACTGTTTTAAAGCAGCTTAACAGAAAATAATGTTGTTAATATTTTATAACATCTTAATATCACCCTATAGTTGCATTTAGCAGATTAGAACTGGGCGATGATACAGTGTACACTTCGCGACAATACAAGCAATCAAGCAGTTGAGATTTACATATATTTAAATAATTACTTCATGAGTCTGCATAATCAATCTGCTAAATGATTAAATGCAAATGTAAATGTAATACCTAAGTGGGATTTTGAACCAATGAGATTTCACTTTGGGTGGAGCTACCCACCATATGACAAAGAAAATGTCTTTATGTGAGACAATGTTTACATTTGCAACAATCACTCAGATTAACATTGAAGAAATGTGATTTTTTTTCACTCAATGTCTTATTTTGTCTCGTCTGCTGATGAACATTAAACTGCTTTTAATATGTTTGAACCTTTTTAAAGATGCTTTGAAAGATTCGCAGAATACTTGTTCAGGTGCTCACCCGGCCGAGTCTTTTCTCCATAAACTCCAGCAGCACCATAACAGCGTCCATGTTGACGCCCATGTACTCGATAGAGCCCTGCTGGACTTTAGGCATCAGCAAAACGTCAAGACACGGAAGCGGCAGGTTCCCCAGCAGGTTCACCGTGTGGCTGTAATACAAATTCACATCAGATTTAGTTTCCTTTTCCAAATTGACTAATTAGTTGGGACTGAGGTCCCTGTGGATCTGCTCTAATTTGTTACGAATCAGAGCAAGACACATGAGAATCTGTGCCAGTGTGTCAATGTGTCAAACAACTTTACTTGATTCAGTTGTGTTTTATTGCATTATTCAGAACCTGTATACTTGCTTCCATAAACCTTTCTGCATCTAGATCTTCTGCCCTGCTGTGTGTGTGTGTGTGTGTGTGTGTGTGTGTGTGTGGTCCTGGTCAATCCTATGTTATGGGGATACAATGTCCCAACAAAGATTGCAATACCAGAAGTCTTTGACCTTGTGGAGAGATTTTTTGGTCCCCATGAGGAAAGCAGTTTATAAATCATACAGAATTATGTTTTTTGATTATCTAATAATGCAGAAACTTTTCAGTGAGGGTTGTGTCTAGGAGATATAATATACAGTTTGTACAGTATAAAAATCATTATGTCTATGGAAAGTCCCCATAAAACATGAAAACCCAACTGAAAAACCCAACGTGTGTGTTTGTGTGTGTGCAAGGGCACCTGTGCATCTCTTCTGTGCGCTCCTCTCCCTCTGAGGTGCTCATGATGCAGTGTCTCAGTATGGCTCCCAGGTGTCTGTAAGTGGCTGCTTCTTCCTGCATCACACACACGCACACACACACACACACACACACACACACACAATGCAAGTCCCATGAAACCACATTAGAGATCTCCTTCACTAATTAAACAGTGTTATTTACACTGAGAGAGCAGATCTAATTGCTGCGGTGGTTATGTAATGCTTATTCAGCAACTTGTGAGAATGAAATTTACATGCTTTTTGAAGGATTATGAGAAAATTTCAATATTAAAAATGACTTATTTTCTTATAACAATATTAAGAGGCAAGCATCGTAAAATAACATTATAACATTAAATAACAAAATAACATGCACAATATATCAGTATTTGCTTTTTAATTATTATTATCCAGTCTCAATAGGAAGATAATGGATTTCACTTGAAGTATTTGTTTGAGTTTGTGTGAAATGTACTTTTTTTTTAATTGGCAAAGTATAGACTTATAAAATTGCCCATCAATATGATGTTTTTTGAAACATTTTGTAATGTTTTTATATATATTTATATTCCACAGAATATTCCATTATATTATTTTTTGTATTGTGTTGCATTATTTTTCATGAGAATATCCTGGAAATCCTGTTTTTAATTATTCCATTATTTTACTGTAATACATTAGTAATAATTTGTACTGTATTGCCATAAAATGGGAAAAAAGACATTGTTGTCTTTAAAGAATATACTGTATGTATATGTATCTGTATATTATATTCTAAATATACAGTGTGTATACACATATACACACGGTATATTTTTCTTTCTTTCTTTTGACTTTGGGGTGAAATATGGCTGAACAAGTTCTTTGCAGGTTTCGTGAGATTCACCCATTGAAATTGGCCGAAGTTTCTATTGCTGCATATAATAATAAGGGCACTAAAATTTAGGAAACAGCAGCATTGTCAGTTTGACTACATAATGTTTCCTGACACAATTAAATGTGGCAGCAAACACAGTCTCACCTCGTCCACCTTGCGGCGGTTGGAATCAAAGGTGACGTTAAAGAGGATCTTCAGGATCTCCATGGCTCGCTCGGCCTCCTGCCTCCCCAGCAGGGGCAGCTCTGAGCAGCCGTCGAATCCCGCACGGGCCACCTCGTACATGTCGGGCCAGCAGAGGCCAAGCGTGGCATCCAGAGCCTCCGACAGCAGGCTAACACCCCGCAGCTCGCGTGCCAGCTGGGCTCTCACGTCCACGCGCAGGGCCGTGATCAGAAACGTGAGGCGCAGGTCGAAGAATCGCACCTCGTGGTTCCACTGCGGCTCGCGGCACTGCTTAAGCCTCTCGGCCAATCCCACGATCAGCTGGAGCTCCGCCCCCGCCTCCTGAGCCGCACCGCTGTTGAACACGATGTTGCACAAGCACTTCAGGGCCTCCACGATCACCTCCAGGTCCGGGATCTCAGGTGTGACGCCCTCACCCTGCCCGAGGCCGGCGTGTCGGATCAGGATCTGCATGGCGTGGCGGGTGGCGAAGGGAGCCAAGCTCTTCTTGTCACGGGACAGGATGCGGATGGTTTCCAGACAGGCCAGCTGACAGGACGGCTGGAGGTCTCTCTCCAGGAAGCCCAACACCAACTCACCCAGACGCTGAGAAGAGAGAGAGAGAGAGAGAGAGAGAGAGAGAGAGAGAGAGAGAGAGAGAGAGAGAGAGAGAGAGAGAGAGAGAGAGAGAGAGAGAGAGAGAGAGAGAGAGAGAGAGAGAGAAACTGTGTGTGAACTGCAGCAATTATCGACACCATCACCTTGCGGGCTAGCGGTTCTCAACTGGTTTTCTTTCAAAACACAGATTTTACACTGTACAGTATCAAAATTGTTTAACCAAAGTTCTTTTTAAAAATGAAATATAAAGAGTATACCAATATAAAAACTACAATATAAATTCAAAAACTATTAAAAAATATAAAACACACATTACAGGTCAAAAGTTTCAGAAGTCTCTCATGCTCACCAATTTGTTTATTTATTTGATCCAGTAAAAACAGTAAAGATTGCGAAATAGTATTACAATTTAAAATATCTTTCTATTTTAATGTATTTTGAGATGGTAAAGCTGAATTTTCAGCATCATTACTCCAGTCTTCAGTGTCATATGATCCTACAGAAATCATTCTAATCGTTCTAATTATCAATGTTGAAAACAGTCGTGCTCGTGCTGCTGAATTTTTGTGTGTGTGTGTGGAAACTTTGATACATTTTTTCAAGATTTTTTGACGAATAGAAAAAGTTCAAAAGAACAGCATTTGTTTGAAATAGAAATGTATTTACTGTTACTTTTGGTCAATTTAATGCATCATCGCTGAATAAAAGTATTAATTTATTTAAAATAAAACCGAAAAAAATCTTCCTGACACCACACGTTTGAACAGTTAGTGTCTATATTTTATATTTAATTTTAGACGATTATAATTTACAATTTTAAAAGATACAAAAATCTAAATAAATATACAATATATACAAATATATTACATATAGATTAATAAAACAAATACACATTAAAATGACATACCTGCAACCCTATCAGAACAGACCTGTGACCCATTTTTGTCACACCCCACCAGTTGAGAAACACTGTTACAGGCCATGTGAGAGAATCTGGGTGTTTTTTTCATGCGATTCAATGTGGTTAAAAACGTTCAGTTTTGACTTCAGGTTTTGAAGCACGCTTGGTTATTGCAAGAGTCCGGTTCATGCTAAAGTAGCAACATAACATTATGAACCCCCCCCCCCCCCCCCCCATAATAAAAGTCAAAACCTGTGCTTCCATCGAGGTTTTCCAAGGGGTTTTATAATGGGGGTTTTCAATTTATGAGTAAAAATAAAATCTGTGGAATAAACATAACTTGCTATATGTTTTGCTCTACAACATAAATTACACACACCCATATTAAAAATGTTCTTATCAAGTTACTTATTAGAAACACTTTAAAAAAAAATAAACATAACAGCTTTGTGTTTTTGATGTGTAATTTAAGTTGTAGAGCAAAACGTCCAAGTGTCGTCAACTAATGTTTGCCAGCGACCTTATTTACTCATACATTGAAAAACCCCATTATAAAAATCCATAGGAAAATCTCGAGGGAACCAGCGGCGAATTAGTATTCTTCTGGGTTTTGACGTCATCCCTGCACCAATCTATTTAAGTTCCTGAGAGGTATCATTTATTATTGTTATAGTAGACAGCTCGCTATAAATACATTGACAACTCCTCAAATTCTCCCTGACTGTGCCTCACTGCCAAGACCTCCGACTGTCTCACTGTAGAGTTAGGTTACCAAAGTGGAGTCCAACTGTGACACGTCCTTACATAACCCAGTCAAGCCATGAACAAAACCAGATCTGATCATCTGTTTGAAACCTGTCTGTGACATCACACACAGTGACAACCAAATATAGTAGCATTATGGTGTTATAGTCTTTTTACATCATGTTTGGAGGTCCTTGGCATCAAATGGTTTAAAGAACACTAGTCTGTACATCTCATTGTGATTTACTGTAGTGGTGCTTTTTGTAAAGCGTTCCATCGCTGCAAAACAATGATTAAAATGACAGGAGTCAGCCTTTATGTCAGAGACCAGAGTCAAAAACAGCCATGAAGGGCACTGTATGCCAGTTCATATTAGAGACAAAAGCAAAAATGTGGCCGGTAAAATGCAGTTTGGGAACTAGACTAGAGTGACCACAGAACTGAACACTGAAAATAATGGTAACACTTTACAATAAGGATCCATTTGTTAACATTAATTAACAATGCATTAGTTAAACTAACAATGAAACCCTTTTATATATATATATATATATATATATATATCCCCCAAAAAATTATGGATAATAATAATAATATATAAAACAATAAATATAGGCAAATACAAAAATGATCGATGTGAGACACTTAAATAATCACAAAAATGACATTATTAATTACATTACGATATTTAGGCACTGAGCAATTACTTTAAAGCATTTAATAATCTTAGTCAATGTAAATTTCAACATTTAATAATACATTATTAAAATCAAAAGTCGCATATGTTAATATTATTTCATGGACTTGGACAGTTATATTTTAACTGTTATTATTAATTTCACCTAAGATTAAATAATAGGCTTCTATACTAAATGTATTGCTCATTGTTAGTTAGTGTTAGTTAATGCATTAACAAACTTTAATCAAACCTTATTATAAAGTGTTACCAAAATAACAAATATAATGCAAACATTAACAGTTTGTGAATTAGCTTTATTTTTAAATCTTTATTTTCCATGTTCATGGAAAGTCATTTCATGATGTGTTTTTTAAGTAATGCTATTTAATTTAATTTCAGTTTTAGATACAGTTATTTATTTATTCCCATTTAATAATTTACTTATTTCAGTTTATTGCCATGGCAACATTTCTATTTTCATTTAGTTTGTTTTTCAACTAACTAATTTTTTTTTTCAATTAACATACATGTTTTTAATAGTTTTAGTTAATAATAATAACCTTGCATTAACACTAAAAATAAAATAAAAAGTAGTAATAGTCAAATCTGCACCAAAAAAAAAAAAAAAAAAATCTCTTTTTAAAAGCTATCCTATTTTTGCATGAATATATGACTAACGTTTTATTGTGTGCATTAAGAATTGATTTTATTCTGAACAGACCTGCGACCCATATTCGGGTTGTGACCCACTGGTCCTGATATTAGCATTGGCCATTAAAAAACCCATATCGATCGACCATGGGCAGAAATAGGAAAATATCACTGGTGTAAACAATGCAAATGAAGTGGGACAGCAGCATACAGATCAAGATTTCATTTCTGAACCACATTGATTCCCATGAAACATTCTCCAACCATCTCAACACAGTGTCATGTTACAAAATCCCAAAGAGTATTTCTTTATATTTTTGGAATGTTCCCATCGTGTGAAGTTATAAAACCTTCTTTGTTCAGTAGCCAATCAGGAACGAGAAATAGCCTTTGGGTTCTACGCTAATGCTATACTACATCCAAAACATTGAGCTACGCATATACCTCTTTCAAATGTCCATCCTATCACAAAAGGCAAGCAAAAAAAAAAGTGCACATAAAGTCAAAGCAAGGACACATCACAACAGCAGTGCTTTAAGACAAGATTCAGTTGATGTCATTTGATATAAGCACAAAAGCTTCTTACATTTATTGCAAATCAATTGAAGACATTTGGCAATGCAATATTCATGAATACTTAAAGGACATGTTTTAATGTATCTAAAATTGCAAGACAAAGCATATACGAAGCTTGTTCTTCAGGGTTGAATTGCTGACCGTTTGCTTTATGATGTCGGGTAAGGCTTACCTCTCTGTCTTCCTCTTCCCCAGGGGTAAACAAAAAACACTGTGATTTCTAAAAGAGAGAAAAAAACATTATTCAGACAACTGTGAAATACAAATATACATGTATGCATGAATACAAAAGACACTTTAAGTTGCAGCAAAAAAAAAAAAAAAAACTTAGTTTGCCAACACATTAAAGGGGCAATTTCTAAGAATGTATTATGAATGCATGTATTAGGCTAATCACTTTTTTTGCCAATGTGTGAACAGCTTGTAACTAAAGTTTAAAAACGAGACCTTCCCCGACTTCCTAGGTTGCCTTTGAAAGCCTGTTGACTGACTTTTTATGACTCGGGTCGTTTTTGCCGGGGAAATCAAAAGCATGTGACGTTTACTCGCGCTCCCGAGAACTACACTTCGTAGAGGCATGAAACAAATGCTTATACAACATTTAGGATAATGCTGAAAGAGCCATTCTGTACTGTAATGTCAATGTGTCAATGTCATCAAAGAAAATGGATCAATTCAAACTAGTCTCACATAGTAAGATCTATCTATAGTCTCAAATATACTTTATAATCAAACTACCATAATTTCAACCTCATCTGTCGACATGATGCTGGTGAATTGCAGAGCTGGTGCAAAATATCCATCAGAGGCTTTCTCACCGCTGCCATTTTTTGTGTGTGTTTTCATTTTGATATTGAGAGGAAAGCGCCTCTTTGCAGAACCTTGCAGTGAATATATAGAGATATTGAATCAAGTTCAGTACGCTACGTGTGTACGAGTAGTACGTTTGTGGCTGCAGTTCACTTAACAGCCACAGGTGTCGCTAATAACAAGGGTTACTGAATTCCACATATAGCCCCTTTAAAAAACGAAATATCAAACCAAGTGGCATCTATTTCAATTTTTTTATTAAAACATTATTCTGATAGAACACCTGTGTGAACTTGTTTAACATACAGAAACAGTTTATAAGTCTAGTTGGTTAAAATTAACTGCAAGTTTGGTATGTTTAATGCAATGAAACATACATTTGTAAATCTGACCTAATGTGTAAAAAAATGGCACATTTTTGGGCAAACACTGTATGTGTGTCATTCAGTGGAAAAAAACTAAGAAAATAGATCTAATTGCAGAGGCAATAACAAAAAAAAAGCATACATTTTGTAATTAAATGATAATATTAACTCATAACCTCTTAATATGTATCACTGTCACATCAATTCTGTCCTAAAGTATGATTAGAGCGCTTAACTGCATGAACCTCTGTGATACCGGCTCACGAAGCATCAGGATCAGCCTAAGAAATCTATTTGTGTTGCTTGAGTGCTAATCCAGCCGACGTCACACAAAGTTTTTCAACTCGTATGACTTTTTAGGTAAGACTGATTGTAAAATGTACCTACTAGCCCATCTCCTATACGGATCATTTGTTAAGAATTCAAAGCCCTCTTATATGTCTTTTTGAATCCTTTTGTTATGATTTTAGGAACAAGATCTAAAAAGAAAGGACCAAATAAGGGTACATAACAGATATAGTTAATATATGGGAGTCAAAGGGGTTAATTATGTAATACGTATAATAATTATAAGAATATATTGCTAGAAAGGACTGTTTTTAAGAGGGATCGAGGGAAGGTCTGCATCCCTGTTGACATCGGATGATGAGTATGAGTCTGACCACAACATTAGAGCCCATCAGCTTTATTTGAGGCTGTTTTAATTGCTATCCTAATGCCTGTCAGGACAACATGAACACATCCATTTACTGACTCCATAAGGTCCTTATGTTATTCTTTATTTGAATATGATATTTCTCTTTTATTATTTCAATATTCTATTCTACTCTCCAGATAAACATCTATAAAGATAAACGACACTCATTTTATTTCTGTCACTAAGAAGCACACATTATTACATCCCCACAAAACATAATGTATGATCTGACCATGGAAGCTCCTAGTCGATGGTGTTTTACATGCAATATTTACACAACTGAGGATCTATTATTGTATCATCCAAATGTCACAGCGCAGCAAACTCTCTCTCTCTATATAATTAGTATTGAACAAGAAACACTTTCCCTAGGCACAACACAGACACTTCATTCTAGAACATAGAAATGCATCATCTTATAACAGTCCTGATTTACATATATCTGATATGTACCTCTTTATTATAGGTCTGTAAAGCTGTCAGTGCGGCGTCCTGGTCGCCCGTTTCCATCTTCTCTATGATGGCATTTAAGTCCATTTTCATCGCTGTTCCACCTTTCAGCTTTCAAGAAGAGCCAAAAATCATGTAAACAAAATCAGCTTCAATCCTCCAGCTTTATCCCAGCGATCCAGAAGCTCCTGGATGATGCGATTAAAGGAAGATTGCGAAGATCACTGCACGGAATCATGGGATTTGTAGTGAAGCCTTCCACACAGATAAGACCCGCATTGTTTGTTGTGGTTGGTGCGGCTGTATGAACGACGTCTCAACGGTCCAATCACAGATTGCGTGTAACAGCCACACCAGCCAATCATGTTGCAGGAGGCGGGACGTGTTGGTATACTTGCTGCTGAGGGTGATGGATTATGTAGTCCAGAAAGACTATTTAAAATTCGTCCAAACCTATAAACACGTAGACAACTAAATAAATAAATTTACATCGAGACTTAACCTTTGCATGTATGAATTATGACAACTTCAGTCAGGATTTTGTTTCCATATGTGTTTGTAATGCTCTTTGGGCATGAAAAAGAAGATCTGAACTTTTTTTTTCTTTTTTTTCTTCTTCTTCAATTATTTTCAATACAGATGTTTCCCTTTTCTTTCCTCTTTCTAATTTATGTCTATGGTGTTATTGTATTGTGCTATTTTGTCATTTTACTATTTGTTTTATATGATGCAGTGGCTGTATTTTTGAGCCCAAGACAAATTTCCCTCTGGGACAATAAAGTTAGCCTTAACCTTAATCTTGGTTTGGAGAAAAAAAATCCACATACAACGGTTTGATGGCAGTGAATAGGATGATGCACTAGTGTCCACTGTAGTGGTTAAAGGTCCAGTGTGTGATTTTTAGCGACATCTAGCGGTTCGGTTGCGAGTTTACACTAAGGGCTCAGCCCACCGCTCACCCCTCCCTTTCGAAGAAGCTACGGTGGCTAAAACGGGACAAACATCGTCGTCTGAGACAGTAGAGAATAGCCAGTGTAAACCAAGTTTCTGTATCACAGTCCATTATAAACCACATCATGGATAAAGTTTCAGGTGAGGATCAAGGGTCTTAATACATAATATAACAATAGTAATCAGCTGATTGTCTCATGAACGTAACCAGCACATTCTCCCCACATAGCAAACCCATAATACAGCGAGGGAGAAGAACCACATGAAACTATGCAACTATATATTTTTTCTAACAGGGTAGTAAAAGTTTAGCTGGCTAATATGAGCTGTTACTGTGGCTGAGCGGGTTAAAGCGTTAAGCCTTGTTTAAACTCGACGCGTCCGCATGAGCACAAAGGTGCGTTCGGCAAAAATGACGTGATTGTAACAGCGCGCGCTAGACACTAGACACACTTACTACACACACAATAGGCTTTTTTTTCTCTGATTTTGGAAACTCGATCGACTTAAAATGCTTCCAAGATCGACGGGTTGGTGATTCCTGCAACTGTTTTACGGTCAATGACAAGAGTAGCCTACTAACCAGCTGTCTCACGAACTTAACCAGCACATTTATCCCCACATAGCAAAGCCATAACACAGCGAGGGAGAAGAATTAAGTTACATGAAACAATCCAACTACATATTTACACCACTGACAAGGGAAAAGTCACTACTCACGGTGTTTATGACTAGCTTCTTCTAGCTTCCTGCGGCTTCTCTTTCAAGTTAGTGAGGAAACGCGCTCTGTAGCGTTGTTTGTTCGCGTTCAGCTACTGTAGAAACATGACGTCACAATATGGCGACCTTCATAGAAGGGGATTCCCGCGCCTATGTAGATATAAATGCCTCATTCTAAGGTAATAAAAACATTACGGTTTATTAAGTAAGTTCTTTATACACCACTGAACACATAGTTATGGATGTCATATTGCATTTCTGTTAATAAATACTCAAAAATGTTACACACTGCACCTTTAATGTGCAACTGTGCAATTAAAACCCATACATACGCAAGAAATGGCTTTTTGAATGGCTGTCCACTGTAGTGACCTCTATGCATGAAATGGTTAAAGACAGCTGCTAAACAGGGATTATCGGTACTCTAAACGATGTCACGCGTTTTTTAGGCCAAAACATACAGCAAACATCTCCTCACTATCCGCTAGCTGGCTGTCCCCTGAACACACTGTAAAAACGCAGTCTCTGCAGACAGCCCAGGCTCCACAAACAGCAACAAAAACAAACTGCGGCAACCCGCTCCACGAAACAAAAATAAACAGTGTTCCAGCCAATAACCGACAAGAAGGGTTTGGGGGTGGGGTTAGTGCGCACGCACGAAGGGGGGTACGGAGGAGAGAGAAGCATGAAGAGGGAAGTTAGAATTATATTCTCTTTAAGTTTGATATGGCCGACACATGACCAAAGAACACGACGTTCCGATGAACAGATTGCAAAAATGCAAAGAAGAGCGAAAAGGAGAAGGAACGCGCGAAGTCCCGAATTGGAAAAGCCTTCGAAAGGTGGCGGGAACAGGTAGCTCTGTGTTTGCTGGACAGGTGGGTAAATCCAGTTTGGGTTTTTCTAAATGGACGTTCATGTTCGCCTAACAAACACAATGATATAATTAGCTAGAACAATGCAGTCAGCGCTAATTTTGGTGAATAAGTTACAACAAACATATAACGTTAGGTTTCTAGCAGCTAGCTATCGATCTCTATTGTAAATGATCAAGCAAACTCACAGTAGGGCGACGGTTTGTGTGAATGATTGTTTTCACCCACTGTTTGTTATGAATTTGAATGTTCATTCATAGCCTATTGACAACTTTGACTAAATTTGTTTACGACGGAGCCGTTGTTTATGCTCACTGGGAAACGCGAAGCTAACGTTATCTTGCTAGTATTGCGTCCTTGTATGGGAGCTAAAGTTATAACCTCAGGTGGCGAAACGTTTTATCGTGTTTTTCTGGCAATGTTTCTCTTTTTCTGCATTCTGTGCTGCATTATATGAGCATTTATCTAAATTGGCGACGTTACACCTTGAATGAAGTATCAGTAAAACTACAGGGGGAGGGGACGAGATGAGGAGGAGGTAGGGTCTAGCTAGCCTCAGTTTTGTTTGACAATGCTTCGGACGTCAACAAGAAGTGAAGTCACCCGACATTGCTTAGAGCACCTTTAAATATACTGTCAAAAATGTTTTGATATGTAAGCTAAAATATTTGATTAATGTGATGACAGAATGCAATAAAAACACGTTACATATGTTGAAACCATAGACTGTAAAAAAAGGTTGAAACATAGGCTAATGTGTCATGAGTGACATTTCCCTGTTTTCTTTGAATCCCATTTGCATGTTTAACATGTTTTTATTTTTAAGGCACTCGGGCTTATGTAACAACTTCTTATCTAGAGTGTTTTACCAAAGAGAAGTACTCTAATCTATTGTCTTTGTTTTCTGGAATCACTTGAGCAAATTATCTATGCCGGAACAGTTTTGAGCTTAAATTTAGACACCTTAAAAAGCACCAACATGCAAAACCTGCTAGGACATATTAACATATTTAACACAAAAGAAAAATACATGGAAATGTGCAAAGGTTTGCATTTACCATAAATTAAAAATGTATCCCCAGTGGATGGAGTTTTCTTTGTAAATTAAATGGAAAACAAGTTCGATCATAAAGATTTCAGGTCTATTTTTGTTTTTGAATTTACATGAACTGCTGCAAAAAAAAGAGTATAATAATTTCACAATCTGGCAGATATGACTAATGTGTGATTCTTGTGCGTTTCTACACTGACCTCTAGTGGATGCAAATGGAACATTAGCGTAGCTCTCTTGATCTGACTGTCACTGATAAGAATAGGTCATGACTCTAAATATGATTTTTTTTTAACATTGACAGTAAGTTAAGGAAACTAATTTAAGGGAATCAAGGCCATGGTTTCATATTGACATAGCCAAATCTGGTTTAACCACAACAAACCACTTCCCCATTAAAGCTTTGTTTACACTTAAGATAGCTGAACATCTTAGAGTGATTAATCGATTCATTCATATTTTCTCATTGGAGGAAGTTCCCATGGGTCTTTTTACGTGTATGACATTGTTAATTGTGTTTCTGGGAATATTGCCTTTGATGTAACACTGACAGCATGATCTATACATGTCTAAATCAGAATATGGATTATAAGTTAATCTGTGATTATAAATTAAAATCACAGAAACAATGGCCCTCATTTATCATTCTTGCGTAGAAACGGGCGTATATGTTGGCGTAAGATTATGCTTACACTCCTCTCACCGCCTGATTTATGAAGCTGTGCGTACCTTTGAAATCCAGGTGTACGCAATACCTGCCCTTGATAAATCCCGCGGCTGAAAACGATCGTCATTAGAATAACACGCCCCTATATATTCAAGTCTCCGCTTCCCCCACGCCCTCATTTTACGCCATGTACACACGGAAGACGGCACAGAAAAGAAACTTCTCCGACGTGGAGCCGAAATGACCTATCGCATTATTTTACGGCTTTATGCCACAGCTTCACTTCCTGAACTTCAGCCAGCCCTTTGTTTCCTGTCTGTCATTATTGGACAAACTGATTAATCCAGGTGTGCCTGGCCTCAGTAACAATAATCAGGCACACCTGGATTAATCAGTTTGTCCAATAATGACAGACAGGAAACAAAGGGCTGGCTGAAGTTCAGGAAGTAGTGAAGCTGTGCATAAAGCCTATTAGCATTCAATTTCGAATCACGTCACATGTATTGGGGTGTACAATAGTGATGATAATGATGATGTGATGTGGAGTACCATTCATTCACATTAATAATTGCATGACAATTTGTAATATTCTTCTTATTATTATGATTTTTATTATTAATGACGCTTATTGTTATTTAGAAGAAGAACGTCGTTAGTATTATTTGTATTATTATTATTATTTAAAAGAAGAAGAATGTATTTTTTATTATTTTGTCAAGTCTGAATTATTTTTTGGTCATTGAAAGCCTTTCATTACCGAACCCAGTCCGTGCGCACCTGCCGGGCCAAACCCTGAAACGTCAGGGTAAAGCGCACAGGCTCGCAACTGAAGGAATACATATGGCTACAAATCAAATGCTTTGGTGAAGTCACACAAATTAAACATTGAAGTCCATGTTGCACAAAAATAAACACTGAAGTTTATAATTACTATGTTGTTGTTGTTGGTCATAATATATCATATCTTTTAGTTTTTCATTGCG